ATTGGGGTTATATGAGCTACGGACTCAATTTAGGTGGGGGGGGGACCTGTAGGGGATTACATAGGGTTTTCGGGGGACTTATTCAGGGATATACTACAAATTTAGTCCAGGGCTCATATTATACCGCAATAATGGAAAAGAAATTGGAACATATTATTTGGAGCCTACCATTTAGGGGCACTTCTATGTTCATAATGGAGAAGCAGAGGGACACTAGTAAATACTATTTAGGTTGTACGGTTTCGGGATATGATCTCTAGTGAAGGAGAATCTTACAAATGGCAAAGAACATGCTCAATGAGATGGGCATTGGGGCTATGTAGGGGGTTATAGGCAGCCAGCTTTAGGGTTGAGGGTTGGCCGTTTCAACGCATTGCGGATGTTCTATTGTGGGGCGTGTGAATATGACTCTTGAGATACTTTCTTAGATGTAACGGAAATCAAGGACATCTATATACCCGTTTACAATCCCGGTTTCCATTTCATTTTCCATTTTCTTTTCCATTTGATTCTCCATTATTTGGCGTAATATCCCATATATGTATATATACACCCCTAATATACTATAGCAGCTTCCATTATATTTTCCATTATCCCAATATAACCCCATTTAACCGTATATATTATCCCAATGGGTAACCCGAGAAGCCGGGGCAGGAATAGCCAGACATGGATGCACTGTGAACTTGGTATGCCGTGTCTGCATGCCTAGGAGGCGGATGAGGCATCGAATGTTCGAGGCAGGCTTGCAGCTTTCACTGCCAGTTTTGGAAGCTTTTTCAAAATGGTGGTTTCCCAAAATAAGGGGACCCCAATATAGACCCCAATATCTTATGATCCTTATTATGAGAACCCCAAAAAAGGTACCCCTAATTTTGAGACATGGATTGAGTCAGAGGCCCAAGTCTGCAAAGCCTCAGCGACGAAGTTGCTGCCTCAGTACCAGGTGTGACTTGATCCATGCCAGCAGAGAGGGCTTTTCTCAGGTCCTTTCCAGCATTCTGCTTGGAACCTTGGTTGCACAAACCCTATAATATATATATATTTATTTATTCATGTTTAGATTCCTAAATAGTAGCTTCCATCTTATTTTCCATTATGTTCCTGTTAAGGAACTTAATTTAAGTTACTACAATGGGTTTAGGGGATATTATCCCCTATACTGGGGAACCAAGTGGAAAAGAGCATGGAACATGAAATGGAAACTGGAGTTATAGGATTTATATTCCTTATAATGGTGAAACAATATACCCCCAATATATTATAGTAGTTTCCATTTTCCTTTCCATTATCCCTATATATACCCTCTCACCCTAAACCCGGGTGGGCAATCCACACACTAACATCACTCGCCAAGTTTTTCTGCCTTAAGCCCTAAATCCCAACACAATCCCGAACCCAAGGCCGTAAGCCTTGGTTGTGAGGGTTTAGGGGTTTAGGGGTTTAGGGTTTGGAGTTTAGGGTTTAGGGTTTGAGGTTTGGGGTATAGGGTTTAGGGTTTGGGGTTTAGGGTTTAGGGTTCCGACAGGGAGTGCGCGATTGAAAGGGTCACCGGGTTGGAACCTTGCGCTGTTCTGTTGGCCATGCA